AATGAAAATTTTTGCATTTCTTCACGTTTTGAAGGTTTCGCATACCTCAAAAATGCATGTGTGTGTTTTCTAACTAATCTCAGCACAAGAAAGCAAGCAAATTATTAAACTAACTTTTGAATAAGTTTCAATTTAAATTTGCATTTAAATAATTAAATCATCAGTAACTATTCATTAATTATGTGATGAAAATATGCAGCAATGGAACGCTGATATTTTTATGGTATCGAACCAATATTTTATGACAAAATATTGCAAAATCAATAATATTATTATATATTATGGATTATTATATTATGTCCAATTATAATTCTCCTATTACTAATAGTAATATGTTACAAGTACTAAAAATCAGGTTAGTTGTATATTAGTAAAATAAAAATTCAAAATAAAAAAACATGAGGGAAAAAAATACATTTGGGCATAATATTATAATCCATAATAATATGATTATATTATTATCCAAACCATACACTTGTTCAAAACGTAATATAGTTTAAAAAAAAAAAATTATTTTTTAAATAATAATTTTACCTGAAAAAATTGGAGATTTTCAGATTGAAAAACAAAGATTATTTTAAAACTTTTATTATATTGAATATTTGGACATTTAACATCAGCGTATTTTACATTTTTCATTACACATTTATATATTAATTAAATATAATTAATAAAATAATTAAATTGATAATTATTATACTTATAGCTAAGATGCAACTATTTACCACACCACCCAGGAGGTATAGTTGCCAGGCGCGTTTTTTTTATGTGGTGTCGCCGTACAAATTGAGTACAGCCCTAGTCCACTTACAAAATAACTTAAATTAATTAAGTAAGCTAATTTATTAAGTCTAACTTAAATGATAGGAATATAACATGAAAAATACCCCACGAGATGATTAAATGTATATGAAGATCTTCTTTAGAAAAAAACCGTAGACGATGCAAGAACCTGTTAGAAATTAAATGTAAAATTGTAATGTACTATGGTAATTTTGCAATTACGAGAAAAAAAAGAAAAAAAGAAAAAAAAAGTATTTACATGATGTACCCCCCTAAGATCCACCATGTAAATACTTTAACTTCATAGGTTCCCAGCACTATGAAGCTTATAGTGAAGTGCATTTATAAAATTCATAAATTTGTATTTTGAGTATTGTTATATGAATTAATATTAAATAATTGTGAAAAAACGCGAAATCTATGCGAACTGGAAGGTCCTTGCCGTCTTCCCCGCCCATTTTTAAAATAAAAAATAGTAAACTACCAGCCTAATGTATTCTAGCCTAATTTTAACTTAATAAATATATCCATGTGTACGTTCTCCAATTCTGTAGGCGATTTTCTGGTTGGTTCTAATCTTGTATGTATCTTCATCTCGTATGGATCTTGATCTTGATACTTTATACCTGATGATAAATCTAGAACAAAGTTATCATTTTTAATATTCATAATATGGTTATATTCATGAACAGTAAAAATTTTGAAGTTTTTGTTATTATTACCAATTGATGCTAAATGAGAGTCGATGATTATATCATCTAACCACTCATTTTATACAAACTGAAGAAATTAATCAATTTAATTGCATATTTACCCAAAAATCCTATAAGATATGATTGACAGCTATCCCTATCATATAAGTAGGGTTTTAGGTAGATATTGAAATCTTTAGCTACACAGTTATCATACAAATCTATTACTAATTCTGCACCAGAGTCGGCAGAGTTATTAGTGTTCAAGCATTTATTTAAAGAAAAAGTGTTTTTCTTGCATAACTGAAATTTCATTATAGGTACTTGCAGCGCTTCATTTTTTGGTCATGGCTCATATCAGACTGATGTAGGCAATTGCCATTTAAATTCTATGAGCCAGCCTTCAGTCAGTTGCTGCATTAAAACAGTGACTGATTTAATTATAAAGCATGCTACACCAAAGTATGTGAATTTTCCTAAAACCTCATCAGAAAGAGATGAAAATAAAAAGAGGTATATGTTACACCACTTCGTGTACATTGAACATGGTCTGTAATATGTTGCTATTTAACAGATTTTATACGAAGTTTGGCATGCCTGGCATTATTGGGTGCATAGACTGCACACACATAAGTATAGTGGCTCCCAAAAAAGATCACCCCGTGGCACCAGCTGCTATTTATATGAATAGGAAGGGCTATTACTCAATTAATATTGAAGTAGTAAGTATTATTTTATTTTGCTTAAGAATTTTGAAGACTAACATGATAATAAATAATATTAGATATGTGATGCCGATGAACGGATATTGTTTGCGAGCAGCAGATATCCTGGCTCCACTCATGATGCAGCCATTTGGAGGTTTCGACAGTCAGAGCCCTGCTAAATCATAATGCTGATGATGGGACATATTTATTGGGCAATTCAAGAATATATTTAATATCGCAAATCAAATAAGGAAAAAAATATATATAGTTGTACATTTGCAGGAGATTCAGGTTACCCTTGGAACATTGCCTACTCACACCATATAGGACGCCAGTAGGCTCTACCCAGGAGAAATACAATAAGTTCCACAAAAAGACTCGCAATGTAATAGAGAGAACATTTGGTGTTGTTAAAAGTCGTTTTCGATGTTTGCATCGTCACAGGACACTGCATTATACACCTGATGTGGCAGGAAAAATTGTGTATGCAGTATTTACTCTGCATAATATATGCAGAGTAAATAATATTCCTCTGGATGAAGAACTGACAGAATATAGTAATGATAGTGGAAATGGTTAGATACCGAATAATTGTATTTCAAATGTGAAGTTAAAATTAATTGATTTTAATATTTCAGAAGTATACAATGAGGCAGATAATATGGCATATAATATCAGAAATTCTTATGCCAGAAGATATTTTTAATACCATATTATTCACTTAAAAAAAAGATTTTATTTTTATAGGTACATGAATGTGATTATTTTAAATAAATAAATAAATATATATATATATAAAGGAATATAAAACAAAATTTATTGGCTGTTAAATCTATTTTTTAATATATCATTGAGAATTTTCAATTGATCGGCTAAGCATTGCAGCGCCTCTGTCTGTTTCTCCATCATGTTAGTAAGAGACTCTGTTTGTCTTTTCAATACGTATTCCATTGAGTTTACGAGGTGATTTAATTCATCTTAAAATAATAAAATGCAGAATGTATCACATAGTAATATAAGTAATATTTAAAATAGAAGAAAAATTATACTTACTATTGCCAGAAGTTCTTCGTCTCTGCATTGGTGGTCTAGGGGCATCATCTAAAAATTCTGGAGGTGGCATTATATCTTCTACCTCAGGATCAACATTAACAGAATCAAGTTCAGCCTCGTTGCTGACAGATTTTTCGATAGGATACTATTAAAGAATTTAATATGTGTATATGTATATATACATAATATATAATGAAAATTACATTTAGTCCAATATCCATTTCCAGATCTGGATGGCCATCAATTGACCCTAGACCCCAAACACCTAAGGCCTTTTGTTCGACCTCTGTCAAGCAATTGGTTAATGCAGGCCCACCTCCTGTTGCTAAAGTATGAGCTTCTTGTTCCTTGCTTTGGCTTTTGTCTGGTTTTTCTAACCCGCAAATATCTATATCAATTTAATAACATATGAATTATCATTTTCAAAAATATAACATACTAGCAACAAAAACTTTTACCTTCATCCAGGATTCAGTAGGCCTATTAGGCCCATGACCACATGAGTTTAACAAATTGGTCAATTCCTCCCACTTTGCACTGAAATAATCCTTGTCGAACGAGGGGCTTAATTTATTAGCAACGAATTGTGGGTTGCTGGTTAAAAAATCAACATATATTTCGTACTGCGCCGGATTAGTTTTTTTGGCTCTTTTCATGTGCGTATCACTGGCCATTTTGTATGTAAAATATATTTATCTAAAAAAATCGTGAACGCTTTTTGACTGGAAGTCCAGTACAAGTATATCCAAAATTGAAAAAACCGTTCGCGTCAGCACCGTAGAGATAGATTATTGCCGATTTCGAGAGTACAAACACAGAGAGCCAACATCAAAAAACCAAAATCTTTGTTCGCTCATGTTACGCCATAACACGATTCATTCTCATAAAATTGGTGCGCCGAGAATAACAAATCTTTAACATACACTTACGCGAGGCATGTTATGCTAACATGCAAGTGTGGTAACAGAGCGTAGCCATGTTAAGGCAGAATCGGTCTATATGTTTTGGTTTGAGATTTATTATTTTTTATTTGTATGTTAAGAAAAATTTGTTGGTTTTTCTCGCATTTTTGTTCTAGAAGTTATCAATTATATATATATATATATATATATATATATATATATATATATATATATATATATATATATATATATATATATATATATGATATGAGTGGAACGAATATTAATTGTTTAATATGAACAAAACAGCACTCAGATTTGTTTATTACACATAATAAAGTCACATCTCCAATTCGATTTATTAAAACAGTTAATATACCAGCATTATAAGATTTAACATTTTGATAATAAACAACTAAACAATAAGAAACTAAACCTAATCCATCTCAACCTAATAAAATTCTAATTAAATTTGGACTAATAATTATTATTATTATAGAAAATACAAATATTAATACTAATAATAAAAATCGATTTTTATTAAAATCTTCTATTATATATCTTTCTCTATACTTAACTACTATTGAAGAAATTATTAATACAAATCTTATAAATATTAAAGATATTCAATCAAATAATATTCTAAAAATAATTATTATAGAATTAATTCTAATAATCTCCCATTCAATAATATAAATTAAATTATTAAAAATAAAATATAAACTCATTACAAATAACACTATTCTTATACTTAATAAATAAATAAATCTTATAAAATATAAATTCTTAATAATTTAAAGTCACTAAACATCTTTGACACCACAAATCAATATTTTAATTAAACTATTTAAATATAAATAAATTATAAATATATCTCTTTTTAAAATTAATAAATTTAATGGAAATCAATGTAAAAATAATAATAAATATTCTCGAACCCTTCCAGAAGAACAAGAATATAATCTTATTCTTCTTTATTCCATGTTGACTATAAGCAAATAAATATAGTCTATACCTTGCTCTTATAAATGAAATTATTATAATTAATACTATTAATATTATTGATCAACTTATTATAGAATTAATCAATATAATTTCACCTAATAAATTTAATGAGGGAGGAGCTGCTATATTAGATCTACATAATAAAAATCAAAATAATGTTATTGAAGGTATAAATCTTATTAAACCCTTATTAATTAAAATTCTTCGTCTTCCTGATCGTTCATAAATAATATTAGAAAGACAAAATATCCCAGAAGAACATAAACCATGAGAAATTATTAAAATAAACCTACCTACAATACCTAATATATTTATGGTAAAAATTCCTCCTAATACTATTCTTATATGAACAACTGAAGAATAAGCAATTAAAATTTTTATATCTCTTTGAATAATACAAATAAAAGATACAATTATTCCTCCATAAATTGAAATTCTCATTATAATTCTATTAATCTTTATAAAATTAATTAATAATAAATAAATACGTAATAAACCATACCCTCCCAATTTTAATAAAACTCCCGCTAAAATTATTGATCCCGCAATAGGAGCTTCAACATGAGCTTTTGGTAATCATAAATGAACAATAAATATAGGTATTTTAAATAAAAAAGCTCTAATAAAAAATAAATATATAAATATATATTTATAATCTAATTCATTTATTAAATATATAAATAAAGTATTATTATATTTATATAACCATATAAATATAATTAATAAAGGTAATGAAGCAAATAAAGTATAAAATATTAAGTATATACCAGCTTGTAAACGTTCTGGTTGATACCCTCAACCTAAAATTAATAATAACGTTGGAATTAATCTTCTTTCAAAAAAAAAATAAAATCAAAAATAATTTAATGAACTAAAAGTTAAAAATAATATTAATAATAAAAAAATTAATAATAATAAAAATAAATTTAAATTATAATTATTTTTATAAATTAAAATTGATGCTATTAATATTAAAATAATAATTCAAATCCTTAATAAATTCAATCTATAAGATATAATATCATAACCAAAATTTAATCTAATATTAACAATTATAATTCTTTTTATTCCTAAAATTATATAAATAAATAATATTATAAATAATATTGTTTGAACCAATCAATAACAATTTTTTAATAAAATAATAGGGATTATAAAAAATATTATTATTAAAAATTTTAACATTGTATTATAGTAAATCTTTTAAAATAATCATTACCATGAGTACGAATTATTGCAACTAAAATAGAAAGACCTAAAACCCCTTCACATACTGTAAATACAATATAAAAATTACAAAAATAATTCTCAAATATTATATAATTAAAACAAAAATATAAAATTAAAAATATAATTAAAGCTTTATATTCTAAAATTAATAAACTTAATAATAAATTTTTCTTATTAAAAGAAAATTTTATTAAACCAACTAATAATATAAAAATTATTAAATAAATATAATTCATTAGTTTTAATAGTTTAATAAAAACATTGGTCTTGTAAATCAAAAATAAATTTAATTTTTAAAACTTCAAAGAAAAAAAAATTTTTTTCATTAATCTCCAAAATTAATATTTTATATAAACTATTCTTTGATATTAAATTATTATTTTTTATAGGAATTCTTTATTCATTAATTTTTTTCATAGTT